GGGTGGATGGGCAAAAACGGTAAAGGGAACTAAGAAATACAAACTGCCATTTATAAAATTAGTGACAGGAGGTAAGTATAGCATGAGGAATATATCATACAATCAGTATGGGATGGGAGGATGTTCCAGAATAAAAGGTACTATATAATTCCTTCATTACAGTCAAATGAGCATGTGAACCTTCCCTGAATCCTGACTTGGGGCAGAGGGGAGGGGGAAACAACTATAGAAGATATTTTTAGGCCGAAACCAGTTTGGCTCAGTGGATAGAGCATCAGCCTGCGGACTGAGGGATCCCAGGTTCAATTCCTCCCATCCATGCATTCATTGCTTGATTCTTTTTTTTTTTTTTTTTTTATCTCTGTTGTTGAGAGTATTACAGATGTCTTTCTCACCCCCCCCCATTGCCCCATCCCAAGCCTTCACCACTCTATTGTGTGTCCATAGGTAATGCATTTGTTCTTCAGTTTCTTTCTGCCCCCCTTCCCACTTCCCTCTGAGATTCCTCAGTTTGTTTCATGTTTCCACGCCTCTGGTTCTATTTTATTCATCAGTTTGTTTTGCTCATTAGATTCCTCGTTCATTTATTTTGATTTTTAGATTCAATTGCTGGTAACTATATATTCATTGCCATCTTATTGCTCATATTTTTCTTCTTTTTCTTCTTCTGTTTCTGCTTCTGCTTCTGCTGTTTCTTACTGCTTTTAAGATTCTTTCCTTGTCTTTAACATTTGGCATTTTAATTATGATGTGTCTTGGTATGGGCCTCTTTGAGTTCCTCTTGTTTAGAACTATGTGCCTCCTACACTTCCAAGTCTGTCTTTTGCCAGGTGTTTCCTATAGGTTGCTAGGAAGGGGACATTTTCTGTCATTATTTCTTCAAATAGGTTTTCAAAACCTTGCTGTCTCTCTTCTCCTTCTGGCACCCCCATAATGCAAATGTTGGTAAACTTGAAGTTGTCCCTTGGTTCTTGTATGTGCCCTGACCTGGGATCGAACCCACAACCTTGGTGTAAGGGGATGAGCTCCAACCAACTGAACTATGGGGCCAGAACAAATGTGTCCTTAATCTTAAGAGATGCCTGCTGAGCTATTAGGGGTAGAATGTCATGCAATTTACTCTCCAGTGGTTCAGCAAAAGAAATGTATATATGCAGATAAAGAAAACTTAAAGCGTTAACAAATCTAGATGGAAGGGTATTCAAGTGCTCTCAATACATACTTTCTAAAAAAAAAAAGTTTTCTATGTGCTTGAAATTTTTCATAATAAAAGGAGGGTACAGCCCTAGCCGGTTTGGCTCAGTGGATAGAGCCAAACCAGCTAGGGCTGTGGACCGAAAGGTCCTGGGTTCAATTCCAGTCAAGGGCTTGTTTTTCCAGGCTCCTCCCCCTCCTGGACCTTGGTCAAGGTGACAACCAATTGATGTGTTTCTCTCACATTGATGTTTATCTCTCTCTCTTCCTCTCTGTTCCAATGGAAAATATCCTTGGGTGAAGATTAAAAAAAAAAAAAAAAAAAAAAAAAAAAGGAGGGTACAGTGCTAATTAATTAGAACAAGGCCCCCCACAAGGCAAATTTTCATAATTTCCCCCCCAACCTATTTTTGGGGCGGGGGAAGGAGGAAGCTCAGAGGCTTCCTTCGGGTCATACTAGTTACTAGTACACTGAGGAAGAGCTCACAGGAGTCATTTGATTAACATGTGTTTATTGATCACCTACTGTGTGGCGAGCACTGTTGTTGATGATGGGGTACAGCACTGGATAAGGCTTTCAGGTCTCACTTCTTACGGAGTAGGGGAGGGTGGAGGGAGAAAGAACTGTGAAAAGAGGTGACATGGAGTGGAGCAGTCAGGCTCTGTTGGAAGAGTCTGTGCAGAAGCCCGGAGCGGGGGCGTGCTTGCTGCTGGCGGCGGCGGGACCGCTGGAGCTGGGCTGTGCGCTGTCTGCGGGAGTCAGGTAAGCGTCCAGGCCCTTCAGAGCACTCTGTGGACCCTGTTTTTCATTCCGAGTAGGATGAGAAGACTCTGGAGGATGAATAAATGATTAAGATGATCTCTGCTTCCGTTCAGTGGCTTGAAGAAAACGACGTAGGATGGCACTCACAGAGGCCAGGGGAGACGCGTCTGCAGGCAGGTGGCCCGGGACAGGGAGGCCGCCCTGAGGCGGTGACCTTGGAGCTGAGACCAGAGGTGGGGAAGGAGCTGGGAATTCGAAGGGCTGGGGGAAGGGAGGAGGAGAGTGGCAGGGCCTTGAGAAATGAAACCAGAAGCGAAGGCAAGGGCCCAGCAGGCCCGGGGCGGAGCCTCCGCCAGCTGGGGAGGGAGGGGTGTGGGAGGCGCGCCCCGCCCCAGAGGCCCCCCATTTCCTCCCCCCCCCCCCCCAGCCCGGCCTCCGGGGAGGAGGCGGCGCCGGGCGGGCTGGGCAGCCGCTGCCAGGGGCGCCGGCCCGGGCAGCCCAGGGAGGGGCGGGGGCGGGGGGAGCAGTGGGTAGGGACCTGCCTCCCGGCCCCGCCCGGAGGTGGCGGCGGCCCAGCCCCGCGGAGAGGTGGGGGGAGGGTTAGAGAACCGGACTCTGCCCTCGGGGACCCGGTTCTCTCCGCGGGGCTGGCCTTCCCCCTCCAGCTCCAGTCTTTGAACAGGGCAGGAGCTGGGCCTCTCTGAGCCTCAGTTTACTTATCTGTAAAGTGGGCGCTATTGACCTTACTGTGGTTATCGTTTTGGCCGTTAAAGAGACTCTATTTAAGCGTGAGTCAGATCTGGTTCTCCTGTCCAGCCCTGTCCCATCCATGGCTTCCATCTCACTCAGGATGAAGCTCACGTCCGTCCTGTGGGACTCCCACAGACCCTACACACGATGAGTCCCCCTCAACTCCGAGTACTCGCCTTGCTCACTCTGCTCCAGCCACACTGACCTCAGGGCCCCAAACTCTCCACCAGGCTCTGGCCTCAGGGCCTTTCCATGGCGGTTCCCCTGCTCCGCCCCGCCCCCGCCCCTGCCTCCCGCCCCCAGATTCACTTGGCTCACTTCTCACCTCCTTCAGGTCTTTGCTCAAATCACCTTTTCACTGATGCCTTCTCTAGTCATCCATCCACGTAGTGACGCCCCCATCACATTCGTGCTTTTTCTCTACAGCATTTATCACCCCCTGACAGACTGTACGTGTTACTGTGTGTGTGTGTGTTTCAGCCTCCTCCACTATAGTGCTGTATGAAAGCAGGAGCTGCCTATGGTACTCATGTGCCAGGAGAAGTGGCAGGCCCACAGTAGCCGCTCAATAAAAGTGAGCAATTTTGAAACTGGAATCCTCAGTGTGCCTAGGTCCCCTTTTACACACTTTGCAGGATGGCTCGATGAGGCAAGTATGACTTCAGGTCTTCAGGTGTGGACATGCTGGTATGTTTAAAGGATGGGAGAGAATGATGGAGCACAGGAGTGAGGGAGGGAGTGTTGAGGAGATGAGTTCTGAGAAGTGGGAGGGAGCGTTGGCCATAGCAAAGTCAGTTTATTTTTTTCAACAATAGCAAAAGTAATTTTTTGAGTGCCCACCTATGCCAAGCATAGTTCTGTGCACCAGGGATACAGCTGGACTAAGGCCGACAAAACCCCTTTCTCTGAGTTTCCAGTGGGCCAGGAGGCTAACCATAAATAGGTAATAATGAGATTGGGGGGTTGCTACTAAGAAAGTCAAACAGAACATGATGGGGTGTTGGTGTATCTGGACATCAACTCAGGGAAGGCCTCTCTGAGAAGCATCCTCTGGGGAGCTAACAGCAGTGCAGAGGCCAAGGTCAAAATGCGTTTGGGATGAAGAGAGGCCAAATGGCTGGAGGGGAGGGAGGGCAGGAGGGCAAGTGGGCCAGTTAGGAGCAAGATTGTGAGGTCTCCCAGGCTTAGTGAAGTTGGGTTTTTTGTTTTGTTTTGTTTTTTTGTTTTTAAATATATTTTATTGTTTTTTTTACAGAGAGGAAGAGAGAGGGATAGAGCTAGAAACATTGATGAGAGAGAATCATCCATCAGCTGCCTCTTGCACACCCCCCACTGGGGATGTGCCCGCAACCAAGGTACATGCTCTTGACCGGAATCAAACCCGGGACCTTTCAGTCTGCAGGCCAGCGCTTTATCCACTGAACCAAACCTGTTTCGGCTGAAGTTGGGGTTTTATTCTGCGTGAGAAGTCACTGAAAGTTCCAGATTAAGATGTGAACATTATGTGCCTTCGTGAGGCCCTCGTGGCCACCCCCTTTCTTGAGTGGCACCTACATATTAGTTACCCCACTACTTTCAGACTTTGATGCAATGCCTCTCTCAGGGTGAGCATCTGGCTTTTACATCAGAAAGCACAGGCAAAATTCCCCTTTTTCTTGCCTGTGGACTAGACCAATGTGGTTCCTCCTTGCAACCTTCCAGAAAAGTCCCTAAAGCTGTGTAAACTCACTTGCTGCCTGTCAAGCCTTGGTGGAGGCACAGCAGGGAAGTAGCAATGTTATCACCTGCTCTCCCCCCACCCCCCAGCCTGGGCTGGTACCTCCCAATAAATCCTTAGAACCTTGACTTCAGCCTGGGCTGTGCTTGCCCGCCAATGCTATTTCTTCTCCTCTGGGCCTCAGCAGCACCTTTCATACAATGAGTTGACTTTTAAGTGCCAAAAAGCCTTATCTTTTTTACATATATATACTTTTTATTGACTTCATAGAGGAAGGGAGAAACATCAGTGATGAGAGAGAACCATTGATCGGTTGCCTCCTGCATGCTCACACTGGGGATCGAGCCTGCACCCCAGGTGTGTGCCCTGACCAGGAACTGAACTGTGATCTGCTGGCTCATAGGTTGATGCTCAAACAGAGCCACAGCAGTTGGGCTTCTTTTTAATCCTCACCAAGGGTGAGGATATTTTTTCCATTGATTTAGAGTAGAAGGGAGGGGAAAGGGGGAGAAGTGAAAAACATATGTGACATGGGGGGCAGGGATTAAAACTGGAGGGTCATGGAAATCAAAACCATCCCTTTCAAAATACTTTTATTAAAAATAATAATAATAATAATTACAATAAAAACCCACCTCCCACCCCACCCCAAACCACCACAAAACCCGCCTTTCTGTTGAACAACGCGCACGGAGCAGTTTGGCTTCCACCTATTGCACGTGGTCCGGCCTGGTTACACATCAGGAGGCTGCTGGGGCTGGGGTCCTGCCAAGGAGGTGGGGGCTCAGCCTGGGGAGGAGGCCAGCCCCTCCTAGTCCTCCCAGATACGAGAGGCAGAGTCTCTGTCATCCTCCCACAGGCCCAGCGTATCTTCCCTGAGGCCTCCGTGGTCACAGAAGGAGTTAAGAACTGGAGGAGGAGGCAGAGGAAATGTGGCAGTGGGCAACCAGACTCCCAGAAACAGAGTCTCATTAAGGCATTTGGAACAGATAAATTAACCCAGGAAGACACACCTTCACAGAAGGCTTTGGTAACCACACACACACTCACTCTACAGTTTATGGAACCCTGATATGGGAGGAAAGGAGGCCAGCCACTGCTCATAGCCTCCACACACACACACACACACACACACAGTTACAATTGCACCCAGGGATCCAGCCCACTGAGGCTGAGATGTACAGGGAGCACCCTTCAATCATCCAAGCTTTAGGATCCCAGGATGATTTCCATGATGTGATCTAGTTCATTCCACTCCCAGGACCCCGGGGCACAGAAGAAGTTGTGAGGAGGCTCCAGTGGGGCCAGGGCAGGCTCCTTCTCCACAGTGGATGTGTCAATGTCCAGAAAAAAGTCATCCAGACCCGAGTCCCCCAGGTATCGAGAGCTCAGAGCCTCTAAGAAGACTGGGTCAGGCTGGGGCAGCTCTTCGTTCTGGGGGCCTGGGGGAGCCACTGGATCCTGAGGGGTCTCGGTGTCGTCCATGGAGGTTTCCAGCTCCCTGAGAATAGAGCCAATGGTGGTTGACAAGGAGAAGTCCTCCTCACCCAGGAAAAGGGGCTCGGGGGGCGAGGCAGGTGCTGGGGCCAGACACAGCGCGGCCTGAAGCTGCTGGAGGGTGTTATGGATGAGGACGTGCCTGCGGAGGCTGGGCGCGCGGGGCCCCAGGCTTCGCTGGACTTTGTCGAGGGAAATTCGGAGCAGGGCTTGCTGGTAGCTTCGAAGGCCTGCTGGACTCCAGTCCCACTTCTCATCCTCCTCTCCTTCCTCCAAGTCAGAGTGTTTCCTCTTCAAGCCGCCTACCATGGTGCCCTGTGGAAAGGAGGGAGGGGCAGGTCAGACACAGAGGGGCTGGTTCAAACCCTGAATCCCCTGCATGGTTGCTGTAGATTTTTAATGATCTGAACTTCAGTTTTTGCATCTACAAAATGGAGATACTATGAATCCCATTTTGTATGTGACTGAGACAAATAAGACTGGAACATAGCTAGGTTTGGGTCCCTCTTACTTGCCTGGGTCGCCCAGAATAGTGAGTTTTCCTTCTTGAAATGCAGTTTCCTCATTTGTAAGATGAGTATCCTAACTCAAATCCCTTTGAGCCTTAAAGCTATTCTTTCCACAGTACTCATTAAAAAAAATTACTGATTGATTTTAGAAAGGGAGGAAGGGGAAAGCGGGAGAGAAACACTGGTTTGTTGTTCACTTACTTAAGCGTTCAAACCTTCAATTCAACCTTGGTGTATGGGGGTGACACTCTAACCCACTGAGCTACCCGGTCAGGGCTTCTACAACACTCATTCCTTCAAACGTGACCCATTTGTGGAATACAGAGACCTAGCCCGAAGCAGGGAACCCTCTCTGTGAAGTCTGCCTTTCACACCGCTCACCTGTGCGATTCTGGAAAGCGAGTGACATTACCTCTCTGGGCATCGTTTCCTCACCTATGATTGGGGATTGTAAAAATCCTCACCACCTCATCAAGGACACCCCACGTGTGATGTGCACAGGGCTCACCACACAGGAAAAGCTTACTGAACAGGAGTTAGTTGCCATTTATTAATTCAATAATTTTACTTATTGGGTGTCTATTTTTTTTTATTAAAATATGTTTTATTGATTTTTTACAGAGAGGAAGGGAGAGAGCTAGAGAGCTAGAAACGTCGATGAGAGAAACATCGACCAGCTGCCTCTTGCACACCCCCTACCGGGGATGTGCTCGCAACCAGTGTACATGCCCTTGACCGGAATGGAACCGGGGACTCTTCAGTCCGCAGAACGACGCTCTACCACTGAGCCAAACCGGTTTCGGCTATTGGGTGTCTATTTATTCAAGCCACCAGGAGCCCTGTTTAGGCACCTCGCCCGTTTTTCAAGACTCTTTTCAGAGTGTATTTCCATCCACGCTGTTTTCCAAACTGAACGAGCGCGCTCCCTACGGGAGGGAAGGGCCTTCCTCCTTCCCTCCGCCCTAGCCTGAGGCTTCCCCCGACGGAGGCCCCGCAGAAAAACTTGCTAGAACTCGATTCACGCCAAGCCCCACCCCTTCCGGCCTATCCAATCGGGTCTCGGTCCTCTACAAACCCCGCCCCCTTCAGCACCAACCACGCCCAAACTTGGTCCTAGGGCTTCTGGGAAATGTGGGCCCACGGCCGCCAGGTACTCACGCAGCCCGGAGCGTGCACTGCAATCCCCAGGGAGCTCCGCGCGCCACAGGAAGACCCTCCCCCACCCTCCCCAGGGCATGCGCACAGGCGCCCGGAGCGGGTGGGGGAAGGGAACCCGGACGTTCAGCTGCCGGGCGCCGGCAGGGCCCCGCCCTCCGCTGCCTCCAGGGCTGCGGGTCAGAGCTCCGCGCCCGGAACACCCCTCCCCCACCCAGGCTGCAGCTCTAACACTGCTCTCCCGATCTCTCGGACCCCAGAAGGCCCTGGAGTCCTCCCCCAAACTGCTCTCGTGTCCAGGGACCCAGCCGCCAACACATCGTTCAGAGACTACAAATGCTCTCCATCTGCTCCGTTTGGGACACCAGGTCTCTCAATTTGGAGACCTTTCGCCTATTCTGTCTTTCAAACAAACTCTCGACTTCACCTCCCCCCCCCCCCCCTCGGCTCCAAGACCTGAACACAGAACTCTCCCCAGCACCCTCTCTCCCTCACTGCGTCTGGGAAACCAAGATTGCTTGCCCCTGGTTCTCTGGCTTCTCCAAATGCCCGGGACCCCAGTCCCAACCCCTCCCACCTTTTCCAGAACACCAGAGCCTCGAATTCAACCCGTCAGGGAGAACAGGGATTGTCCCAATCCCCAGATTCCCTGCCTCAAAAGTTCCTTCCCCGGTTCTCCCGCTTCTTCAAATACCGCAGCTCCCAGCTTCAAACTCCCTCCACTTGGAAGATCCTGCCCCAGCACCTTCGCCTCCAGTCCACGATTTCGAATGCAGTCTCCGATCCCCAAACCCTACCCGTCACTCGGAATCTGCGCTCCCCACTCCCACCCGGGGTCCGCCCCCACAACTCTCGGGGTGCGCCTCCACCGCCCCCAACCCAAGGCAGCGCTCAAGCCGGGCAGCCGCCCCTCACCTCTGCTGCCAGGCTCACTCCCGGCACACCCTCAGCTTCGCGACCCTCCCGTGGTGGGCAGGGGCCTCGCTCGCCTCCCGGGGCCTCTCGCTCTGGCCTCGGGCTCACCCGGCCCCGCCCCGAGCCGAGCCGCGGGCCGCGATTGGCTGGAGCCCTGCCCGCCCGGGGCGCGGACTGGCTGGGCGGGGCCAACCCTGTCACCCGGAGACGGACGGCCCGCCCCCCCTTCCCGGCGCCCGAGACCTTTTAAAGAATTCCGACTCCCGGGGGCGGGGCCGCGTCCGTGGGGTGGAGCGGGTGGAGGGTGGGGGGACTGGGAAACTGTTTCCTTCAAATCAGCGGCGGTCCTGGCTCGCACTGGGTCTGCACTGCCCGCTGAAGCTCTTCAGGCCGGGCCGAGCCCGCGCAGAGCAAGACGGGCTGCCCGCCGCCTCGCTCCGCTCCCCGGGGAACGGGGGAGCCACCAGCCGCGGCCGCGAACCTGCGTCCCTCGGCCGGCGCTGCAGGGAGGAGGACGCCGCCCATGGCCAGCCAATGGTTTCGCGCGGCGTACGTTGCCGGGGCGATCGCAGCCCTTCCTTTCGCTTCCCCTGTCCTCCGGCCCCTCTCGACACTTTACCTCTCCGCCCCCTTACTCTTCGGGGCTCCTTCAGCGGGTTTCCCCGCGGCCCGTCCGTCCCGCACCCGCCTGGCGCCCCATCCTCCTCTCCCCGGGTGGCACCTGCGCTGCTGGAGACTGGTCACCGCTCCCCGCTCCCCCGGGTACAAAGTCCGAACTCCTCACTTTCTCCACAAAGCCCTTCACACGATCTGGCCCGAGGCACACTCCTTGCTCCCTACCACCCCAATTGGTTTTTTTGAATTGGCTTCCGGTGTCCTCCACACCATGAACACAGATATTTTGTGCGGGTTTTTCTCTACTTTATCCCCAGTGCCTACAACAATGCCAGCTACATAGCAAGTACTCAAAAGTGAGAATTAAAGGGGTCAAATGAGCACACCATACAGTGTACAGATATTGAATTGTAATGTACACCTGAAATTTACAAAATGGAATAACCACTGTCAGCTCAATAAAATTTAACTTAAAAAAAAAGATTTCTGGCTGAAACCGGTTTAGCTCAGTAGATAGTCAGCCTGTGGACTGAAAGGTCCCGGGTTCGATTCCAGTCAAGGGCATGTACCTTGGTTGCAGGCAAATCCCCAGTTAGGGGGTGTGCAAGAGGCAGCTGGTCAATGACTCTCTCTCATCCATGTTTCTAACTCTCTCTTCCTCTCTGTAAAAAAAACAATAAAAAATATATATTTTTTAAAGATTTCTGGATAAATCAATAAAAAAGAATTTAAGAACATTTGTAATACTTTCAACAATAAAGATAAATTAAAAAAAAAAAGAATTGAAAAGAAAAAAGTTTCACCAAAACCGGTTTGGCTCAGTGGATAGAGCGTCAGCCTACGGACTGAAAGGTCCCAGGTTCAATTCCGGTCAAGGGCATGTACCTTGGTTGCAGGCACATCCCCAGTGTGCAAGAGGCAGCTGATAGATAATTCTCTCTCAGCAATGTTTCTAACTCTCTATCCCTCTCTCTTCCTCTCTGTAAAATTATCAATAAAATATATTTTAATTATAAAAAAAGAAAAAGAAAAAAGTTTCTGGACCTTTCAACTTGTTTCCCCATTCTGAAAATGGTCCCTTAACTCCCAGGCTGCCTCTCATCAGAAATCACACCAAAGGGTTCCTCTTCTCGGAAGCCCTCCCTGACGCTCCAGGGGGGGTTGGTTTTCATGGTAACCTGTTTTCCCCACTGAAACCCTGACTCATCTGCCCATGCCTCCCTCATCCTTTCCCTGGGCTGTCACCATCTGGACTGTGGACTCCCCGAGGATAGATACCAAGGTTATCTCAGTCACCAGCTGTATGGTCACAGCAACACCTAGCAGAGCGCCGGACACAAGCAGGCATCCAGTGAAAATATGCCCAGACAATGTGGCAGGATGAAAATAGAGGGTAGGAATGCAACAGTGCCAGTGCCCAGAAAGTTTGAACGAGTACTATCTCTTCCCCCACCACCACAACACACACACACACACACACACAACACACAACACAACACACACAGGTTTTCACAAAGAGGAGGGGGAGGCAGTTTTCTCCAGGCTACCCAAGACCAGTTCTCTCTGGTTGGAATTTGACAACTAAGTCATCCTGCTGTTTGCAGAAACAGTAAGTCTGGAATGGATTTTGTGAGAGGTGGATGTGGGGTGGGGTGTGGCGTGGGAGCTGGGAGAGGCTGGAGGTGTGAAGAGAGGAGCAGGTCTCACTCAGGCCTGGGAAAGGTGTCTCTGGGAAACACAGGCAGGGACAGTAGATTCCATGGGGACATGATTAAGCAGGGACAATTCTCCCTCCTCCCACACCTGGCCCTCCTCCAGGACCTCATCTCAGGGGGGCCCCATTGTAACCTGGTCCCTGTTTCCTCCAGGTTTCCTCATGGCCGTCCACTCAGGCTCTGCCCACTCTCTTCCCCTCAAGGTTTCTGCCTGGTCCCCCTGGGCTCCCAGCTCCCACTCTTGTCCCCCTCCCACCCACCTTCTCACAGTAGCCAAGGGAAGCTTTATAAAACCCAAACCTGATGGTTCTCCCCGTTCTCCCCCCCCCCCCCCCCCCGCCTCTCCCCTGTTCCAGTCCTTGCATAAAACCTCAGGATAAAGCTTAAACATTTTACAATGACTCTGCACAATTTAGCATCCATGGAACAGCCTGTTGGGCAGACCACTCCTCACCACTGAGAAAAGTATTAATAATTAGTTCTTCATCTGCTCTCCAGCCTCCTGGCCTTTGTTCATGTGGTTCCTTCTGCCCAGAAGCCATCACGCCTTAGGACCTTCTCCTGACTCATTCTTACCAAACCAGGTTTCAGGTGGGACCTCCCCTCTGCAACAGAGCCTTATGTGCTCCCCAAGTTAGATCAAGGATCCCATCTGGGTTCCCACAGCCCGCCATGCTTCCTCCATCGGAGCCCTGGCCACTGGGGCTGTCACTTCAGACTGTGAGATATGTGAAGGCAAAGCTCACAGCTATCTTGGTCACCACTGGGTCCTCACAGTCACCACGCGGTCCCCAACACAGGGCCGGGTGCAGAGCAATAAACTGCAACTGAGGAAATGAAGGAATCCCCGGAGAATCTTACACGCAAGGCAGACAAAGACATGGAGATACCCAAAGCCAGAGTGGGAACTTCTGGCATAATCTGAAGCTCTTGGCTCAAGCTTTATTGCTCCCTTCCTTTGCTCCACGTTCTCCAGGATGCTGTCCTCCTGGGCAAGGGCAGAGCCCTAGTCATACTGGTGGGAAGGGTAGGTTCTGTGTCCATCATACTCATCGGTGGTGAGGCAGCGCAGCATGAAGTGGCCGAGGTCATGTTTGGAGATGACTCTCGAGGGCCCTCGTCCATCCAGGGTCACCGTGTAGGCCCCGGTCAGTGGCTGGTCTCCTGCAGAATGAAGACAGAGGGAGAGTAAAGGTGATCTTTCTTGGCTCCCCAAAGTGATCACTACGGTGGCCCCAGGCAGCCTACAGTGTGCCCAGCCATAATGGTATTGAGAGCCATGTTATGTGAAACCCTTTCCAAGTGCGCAGCACTAATCTATACCCTTTGTTTCAGCAATCCGACAAATTCTGGAGACCTACTATGTGTCAGGTGCTGGGCACCCAGCGAGGGACAAAACAGAAATTCCTGCTCTCAGCATGTAGTCACTTACTAGGTAAAGACAACTAAGAATAAAGTGCAACACACAGTGTGTTAGATGGGGAGAAATAAAGCAGAGAACGGGCTAGGAACTATTTGTTAATTCTGTTTTATCAATGGGGACATTGAATCTTGGAGAGAGAAAGCCACTTTTAAGTGGCAAAGGCTGGGTTTGCCCTGGTCTCTCCATCTGGATGTTTTCCTGTCTCCCGGCCCCCTGGAAAGACGGAGTGGCATGTCCCAGGCATGGGACTGGATTTCGCAGGCAGTGGAAGAACACATTTTTCTGACTTTGTGAATATGGAGTCAGTGTCCTGGTGCCAGGGGTACAACCAGGTCTTTCTTAGACAGCGGAGACAGCAAACAGGCATGATGGGCAGTTACAGGGCATCTAGTGACTGCATTATAATAATTAAAAAACAAAACAAAACACTTGCCAGTGACCAACTTAATTTAGGGACCAAAGACAGCGTACAGTACAGTACAGGGACAGCCTGGAACCATTATGGGAGGAGGTTCCCTGTATTAATTCACCCAACAAATATTTGCTGAGCATCTCCTATATGCCAGGTCCTGGTCCAGGCACTAGGAACACAGCTGTGGTCTAACCAAGACAAGATCCGTTCCTCCAAACAGTGGGCACCCTCGTGAGGGAGACACGCAATAAATAAGAAATAACAGGTAGTGAAGTGTAAGCCCCCTTCCTCTGAATCTGGGCCTGCCCTCGGAACTGGCTTCTAATAACAGAGCGTGGCGGAAGCAGCGCTGGGGCCTGACTTCAGGGGAGGCCACATACTGGTTCCATCAGCCACCCGGGTGTCTGGGAGGAAGCCTTCCAGCAGCTGGGCAGTCTCGGGTGCGAGCCTCCCTGAGCCCAGTCAGCTCTGGGAACCGAGTCAGAATAAACGAGAATGGTTTGTCCAGCAGCCATAACTGAAAAACGTTAGGAAGGAGAATAAAATCGAGCAGGAAAGGGGACAGGAAGTGTGGAGAGGAAGGTTTGCTCTTTGAGGTGAGCCAGGCCAGGCCTGGCGGATGTCCCCAGAGGACAGGAGGGGCAGGCCGGTGGCCACGCTGCTGCTGGTCCCGGCCCCACTCACCGATGTGCGGCGGCATCACAGCCACGTACTTCAGCCCCGAGTCCTGCAGCACTTTGTGCATCCGGACGTGGTCATCGGTCACGGCCTGCAGGCGTGGGGGCACCTTGGTCGGGTCCCATAGCAGGAAGGCTGGGGGACACAGGCAGGGTCAGCGAAGGCAGGACAGCCTGGCCAGGTTAGTGTCAGGACAAAATCCCGCAGGGGCTCACTGCGGCCTCCGGTTGCTTCAGGCTCAAAATCTCCCTCTCATAGGCCACGTAAGAGCCGACCGCTTCCCACCCCACCCGCTTCTGTCCGCTGTCTCTGCCCTCAGTCTGTTCCCTCAACGCAGCCAGAAGGGGCCTGTGAACACCAGAGAAGCTGGAGCTCATCCATGGCTCCGTCTCACTCAGGGCAAAGGCAAATCCCCCTCAGGGGCCCACCTGACCTGGCCCCATCAGACCTGACCTCACCGCTCTCCCCTTCACCAGCTCTGCTGAAGCCACGCTCTGGCCTCACAGCCTCCACAGCCGGGCTGATCCCTCTGCCCAGTCCCACTGTCTTACCAGGCAACCCTCCCTCCCGTCACTCCCCTTTCTGGGAGGCACTGGTGTGAGGAATGCGGCTGCTGGAGACAAGGCAGCCCGGCCTCACACCCGCTCTGCAGCCACAGCTGTGTGAACTTGGTAAGCCAATGGGCCTCCACGACCTTAGCTATACAGGGGAGACAACAGCTTCTGCTGACTGTGTGCCTGCCATGTGCCACCACGAGTGAATTTCGAGTTTTGTGAGGGTGAAGTGGCATTCATCTCTAAGGCACTCACATGGTGCCTGGCACACAGTAGGTGCTCAGGAAATGCTACCTGTTAGCATTAACTGCTGTTATGTACCCTGCAGCCTTCCGTTGGGATTATTTGGGGCAACTGTTTTTCTCATGCTCATCTCCCATGCCTGGAGAGCTCTGTGAAGGCAGAGATGTGGTCTGTGTACCCACAGCCCTGTCACTTCCCCTAGAACGCTCCTTAACCTCATCTCAGACTGTTAGGTGCCTCCTCTGGGCTCGAAGTCCTCTAGGCTGCCCCCATCCAGGCCTTGACCTCTCTGCCTGGGCCTCATTCTGGGTCTGACCTCTCAGCCTTGGCTGCCTCCCCCCAGTGGCGGCCCTGACAATTGTGGCCTGTCACTGTTTGATGACCGCTGTTTACCTCTTCCCTGTCATCTGTGAGATCCGTGGGTGTAGGGCCCAGGGCTGTTTTGGTCACCACTATGTCCCTGGCATCTCCCAGCAAGGTCCAGGCACACAAGTGGTGCTCCATAAATGCACAGTAACTTGAGATGGCTCCAATGCCACCTTGCAAAGGCCTCTGGGCTGCCATTTACCCCCCCACCCCCGCCCTTCAGCCCCATCCCTGTGACCCCACCACCCACCCGAGGTGCAGGCCACGACCTTGTTGACACCATGGGCCTTCATGGCCGCCACAATGTTCTGGGCACCCTCGGACATCACTGTGGTGGGACCTTAGAGGGGACAGAAAGTGGCTGTCACTGGTGGGTGGCGGTGGTGGTGGCGGCGGGGGTGGCAGAGGTGGGGCAGGGGGTGGGGGAGGTGCTGGGGGCCGAGGTGCAGGTGGGGGCCGTGGGCAGAGGGGGGGCCGAGTACTGAGGTCATTGCCGGTGCCCAACAGCACGATGACAGCGTCCTGCCCTGCCACAGTCTTGTCCACATCGGCCGCCTGCCGAACGTCGCCCACCACCACGTGGGCTGGCTGAGGCCCCTCCGAGGGCAGCCTGGAGGAGTCCCGAACCAGCACTGTCACCTCATAACCTGTGGGCACAGAAGGGCAGAGAGGCAGGTCAGTAGGCTCTCGGGCGGGCACTCCTGGGCTTGTGAGGGTGCCACGAGGCCTCCAATACATCCTCTGGTCCCTGTTCTGAGGCAGGGGCCGCCCAGCATTTTTGCTGGCATACCGACAGCTGATATTGAGGCAGTTGTTAAGATTGGGCCATTCCTTCACGCCGGCCCATAAACAACCTGCATTGATGACTCTAAAGCCCTCTCTGCCCCCCCCCCCCCCAAGACTTCTCCACCCTCTGGCAACTGAACTGGCATCCATAGTCCTGGAAGAAACTGAGGAAGACATGAGTTGCCTAAAGGTTGCCCAGTGCTGGGATTGGTGCCCCAGGCCTTATTTCTGCAGAGCCAGGCCCTGCCTTAGTGGCCATTAAAGATTTTGAACATTGCCTTGGTATATTTCCTCCCAAAAGAATTTTTGATAACTTATGTCTCCCCTTCCCCATATACATCCCCATTTTAAAGTTCACAACCAACATTAATTATCCTTTTTTTAAAAACAGTGACAAAGGAGGTGTCTCTATCACTATAAATACAAATGGTGATATCTATATCACTATAAAAGGCTAACTAAAGGAGATCCAAGATGGCTACGCCCAGGTAAACACCTAGCCGCAGCCACACACAACAATTTCAATAAAATACAACTAAAATATAAAATGGACATTACCCAGAACTACAGGAAAGTCGACTGACTGGAAATTCTATAACGAGAAGCAAGGAGAAAACCAGAAGGAAGTGCGGAGGAGCTGGAAAAGCCCAAGGTACGGAGACACGCGGCGCGCGGAGAGGACGGAGCCGGAGAGGAGGGAGGCTGAGTGCCTGGCTGGCGTTCCCTAGCGGGAAGGAGATAAAACTCTGACTGTGTTGGGCCCCAGTTGCGACTGCTCTGAACCCCAGTTCTAGGCCAGACCCCGGGGACCCAGGCTCATCCATAGGGAGCTGGGCTGTAAGGCAGAACCCCGGGGGAGCAGCGAAAGGAGGTCCCGGAGGCGCGTACATTGCGTGCAGAGAAGGGACGGTAGGCTGTGCCGGGGGATTGCCCTGGCCGGAAGGAGACTGGGGCTCCAGTCTGCTCTGAACGCCACCTCCAACTCCACTTCCAACTGAACAGAACCCCAATACTGGGCTCATTGGGGGAGAGCATAGACTGTTTGGCAGCAGGCGAAAATCGAGGGCACCTTTCTCTCAGAGGCACTTTGCAGCGAGGACTGAAGGACCCTGAGAAGCAGGAGCCGCTTAGGGCGGGGCTGACGGAAGCTAAGGCTGTAGGCTCCACCCTGAAATCCCATCCCATCTGTAACTGCGAAATGCGACAACAAAATAGATCACAAACGAAAGAAATGGAGGACAAAAAGCGACTGGATATAGAGTTCAAATCTACGCTTATAAGGTTTTTCAAGAATTTCCTAGAAAAGATCGATAAGACCTATGAGGATATGAAAAGAAATCAACTAGAATTAATAAGGAGTTATCAAGAAATGATAAGGGATCAACAAGAAATAAAGAATACATTGTCTGAAATAAATAATATTATACAGAGTCCTAAAAACAGAATGGAAGATCGCAAGAATCAAGTCAAAGATTTGGAACATAAAGAACCAGAAGACACTCCTCCACAGAAGCTAGAAGGCAAGAGAATCCAGAAAATTGAAGATAATGTAAGAAATCTCTGGGACAACTTCAAGCGAACCAACATCAGAATTATGGGGGTCCCAGAAAATGAGAGAGAGCAAGATATCGAAAACATACTGAAAGAAATAGTGACAGAAAACTTCCCCCACCTGGTGAAAGAATTAGACATACAAGTCCAGGAAGCGCACAGAACTCCAAACAAAAGGAATCCAAAGAGGACTACACCAAGACACATCATAATTAAAATTCCTAGAGCAAAAGACAAAGAGAGAATATTAAAAGCAGCAAGAGCAAAGAAGGTAGTTACCTATAAAGGAGCACCTATACGATTGTCAGCTGACTTCTCAACAGAAACCATGCAGGCCAGAAGGGAATGGCAAGAAATATAATATTCAAGGTGATGAATAGTAAGAACCTACAGCCAAAGATAATCTATCCAGCAAAGCTATCACTCAGAATCGAAGGTCAGATAAAGAGCTTCACTAATAAAAAAAAGCTAAAGGAGTTCATAACACCAAACCAGAATTATATGAATTGCTAAAGGGGTTCTTTCAGAAGAGAAAGTAAATAAAGATAAAAATTATGAACAACAAATACGTAACTATCAACAAGTGAATCTATTGTAAAAACCAAGGAAATTAAAAAAATCTGATGAACAATATTAACTGTTGAATATAATAGAATCAGAGGTATGGAAGGGGAGTGAACTGACGATTCTTGGGGAAAAGGGGAGAGGGGAATGTGGGAAGAGACTGAACATAAACTGTGCACCTATGGATGAGGACAGTGGGGGGTGGGGAAAGGGCAGAGGGTGGGGTGGGAACCTGGTGGAGGAGAGCAATGGTGCGGGGGGGGGGGGAAGAAACATTTGTAATAATATGAACAATAAAAACTTATTAAAAAAAAAAAAAAAAAAAGGCTAACTAACATGCAAATTGTCTCTTCCGGAGCTGGACTGGGAGACCTGGAGGTTGATTGCTGGCAAAGACATGTGCTGACCACCAGGGGGCAATGTGGAGTGAAGGAAGGCCCGATATTCCCTGATCTTGGGCCAAGCCTAGGGACCCTACCTTTGCACCAGGTCACTGGTTAAAAATAAAAAAATAAAAAGGATTAATGGTGGGCTCTGTTATGGACTGAAATGTCCCGCGAAAGTGATGGTGTTTAGAGGTAAGTAGGTTTAGATGAGATCATGAGTGTGGGTCCCCGTGGTGGGATTAGTGTCTTTAGAGGGAGAGGAAGATAAACCAGAGCTCTCTCTCCATCATATAAGAAAGACATCTGCAAGCCTGGAAGAAGGTTCTCATCAGAAACCACACCTGTTGGTACTTTGATCTTGGACTTCCCAGCCTCCAGAGCTATGAGAAAGGCATGAATGTTGTTTAAGTCACCCAATTTTGTTACAGCAGCCTGAGTCAGCCACATATATCATCCTCCGGAAAACCGAACCACAGCTCCTTGAAAAATGGCTGGTGGGCTGGGGATGGGCAAGATGAGCTGGGAGGGCAATGCTTAAATGGTGGGGCCATGAACTCAATGGAAACATATAGGATATATAGAAATAATGATACTAACAAAGAAACCTCATTGGTCATCACCTGTCAGAGGATTAACCTCTTACTCTGAGAATAATAAAGGAAGAGGAAAAACAATGAATTTGTTTTATTTCTATTGATTTCTGTCATCACCATTTCAAAAACAAACAGTGGAGATTTACACTCTGGGCAATGATGATGATAATGGTAAATAATCTATACAGAGCACTCACTCTGTGCCAGGTGTCAAGTGTCTTACAAATATAAACTCTCTTACATACTTAGTTCTCAAAGTAACCCTTGGCTTGAATTCCAGTCTTACCACTAGCTAGACATTGGGCAAGTCACTTACCCTCCTTGAGCCTTAGGCCCTTCATTTTTTTTAAAAAAATATATATTTTATTGATTTTTTGCAGAGAGGAAGAGAGGTATAGAGAGTTAGAAACATCGATGAGAGAGAATCATCGATCAGTTGCCTCTTGCACGCCCCCTACTGGGGATGTGCCCGCAACCAAGGTACATGCCCTTGACCGGAATCGAACCTGGGACCCTTGAGTCCACAGGCTGATGCTCCATCCACTGAGCCAAACCAACTTCAGCAGGCCCTTCATTTGTAATAGTCTCTACATTATAGGTTTGTTGTAGGGTTAAATAATATTTACACAGCCATTTTGTACCCGTTGAAACTAATGTTTCATCAATAAAGCACTATTGTGCCGAAACCTGTTTGGCTCCATGGAAGGAGTGTTGGCCTATGGACTGAAGGGTCCCAGGTTCAATTCTGATCAAGGGCATGTACATTGATTGCGAGCACATCCCCAGTGGGGGGCGTGCAGGAGGCAGCTGATCAATGTTTTTCTCTCATCGATGTTTCTGACTCTCTATCCCTCTCCCTTCCTCTCTGTAAAAAATCAATAAAATATATATTTAAAAAAAGAATTTTAAAAAATAAAGTACTATTGCTTAGAGATTAAAAAAAAATAAAACTAGCCAAAACTAGTTTCGCTCAGTGGATAGAGCGTCGGCCTGCAGACTGAAAGGTCCTGGGTTCGATTCCAGTCAAGGGCATGTACTGTGGTTGCAGGCACATCCCCGGTGGGGAGGAGGGTGCAGGAAGCGGCTGATCGATGTTTCTCTCTCATAGATGTTTTTAACTCTCTATCCCTCTCCCTTCCTTTCTGTAAAAAAATAAAAATCAATAATATATATATATTTATTTTAAAAAATAGAACTAAAAGCTTAATGTAGACAATTGATTTTTGACAAAGGTGGCAAGACCATTCAACAAATGGTGTCAGGACAACTGGATATCCACATAAAAAAGAATGAAGTTGGATTCCTACCTTATAACATATATGAAAATTAACTTAAAATGACTCAAGACCTAAATGTAATATCTAAAACTGTAAAACACTTAGAAGAAACATAGGCATTGATCTTTGTGACTTTGGGTTAGACACCTAGCTACAACACCAAAAGCACAAGCAACTAAAGAAAAAATAGATACACCATTGAAACTAAACATTTATGTACTCCTAAGGGCACCATCCGGAAAGTAAAAAGACAACGTGGGAGAAAAGTCTGCAAAGTGTATCTCTGGTAAGGGACTTGTACTTAGAATATGTGTATGAAAGAATCCTAGGTCCTGGCCGTTGTGACCTAGTTGGCTGGGCTTCATCCCATGCACTGAGAGAGGTCGCAGGCGGATTCCCATCAGGGAACACACCTGGATTTCAGGCTCCATCCCCAGTAAGGGATGTGCAGGATGCAACAGACCAGTGTTTCTCTCTCTTCCCCTCTCTCTCAAATCAAAACATTTTTAAAATATATTTTTATTGAGTTCAGAGAGGAAAAGAGAGGGAGAGAGAGACAGACACATCAGTGATGACAGAGAATCATTGATCGGCTGCCTCCTGCATGGGCATGTGCCCTGACCAGGAATCAAACCATGACCTCCTCAACCACTGAGCCATGCCAGCTGGACTAATTGTATATTTTAAAGGGGTGAATTGTATGGAGTGTAAATTGTACCTTAATAAAGCTGTCATAAAAATACAAAACTTAAAACTACGGCAGCCGGTGTGGCTCTGTGGTTGAGCATGGACCCATGAACCAAGAAGTTACCAGTTCAATTCTGGGTCAGGGCATACGCCTGGGTTTTGGGCTTGATCTCCAGTAGGGGACGTGCAGGAGGCAGCCGATCATCCATGTTTCTATCTCTCTATCCTTCTCCCTTACTCTCTCTCTAAAACCAATAAAAACATATTTTTAAAAAATCACATGATCTCATTGAAAAGGAACAAAATAATCTGATGAACAAAATAGATCCAGAGACATAGGAACATGGATGGAACAGACTGTTGAGTCTCAGAGGGAAGGTGGAGGCAGGTGGATGGGAAGAGATTAACCAAAGAACTTATATGCATATCTGCATAAGCCATGGGCACAGACAAGGCCTGGGGGCGGAGGCGAGCTCGAAGGGGTAAATTGTGGCGGGGAAGGGACATCTGTGACACTTTCAACAATAAAGATAAATTAAAAAAATACAAAACTAAAACAAATGAAAAGTTTAGGAGAGTGCCTGGCATGGGAATGAGTGCTACATGGGTGCTAGCTGTTCCTATGCCTGTCAATCACCTCACAAAGTTATTTCCTGGTGTAATCCTCCCAGGCTCTCCCGACCCGTCACGTCTTCTCCAGTCCAGTTCCGCATGGCAGCCAGATAGAGGCTTCCAGAGAAGTGGTCCCCCCTGACCCCCCATATCTCTCCTGTGATCCCGTGCCCTGAGATACAGCCATCATGGCAACCTTTAAGGCCCCTCAGGATCTGGCCGGTCTTCCTTCCCACCCTGTGCTGGGGCCCCTGTCCTCTGCCACCGCTGCATGCCTTTCAGTTCCTCAAACACATGCTGCTGCCTCCTGAGCCCTCCGCCTGGAACCCCTTTACCCTCTCCACAGGCCCCACCAGCCACGCGTGCTTCCTCTTTCAGGGCCCTACTTGCGCTGATAGAATAAACCCTATGGGGGATCCTATGGGGCCACAGACTGTGCCATATTTGCCACCATCTCCCTGACTTTCTATAAACACAAAAGCACAGGCTTTACCGCCCCAAAGACCCTGGTCAAACTCTAGTTCTGCCACCTACTGGCTGAGGAATCTCAGGAAACCCCTTTTAGTCTTCTCTAGAAAGTGAAGGTCATCAACTTTGTAAGGTATATGAATGTCTAATCACTAGGCTGTGTACCTGAAACTAATATAATATTACTAGCTTCCCGATGCACAAAATTCATGCAAGGGGCTCGGCCCTCGAAGCCCCAGCTGCCTCTGCCGGTCCTCAAAACCTCGGCTTCATCTGGAAGGTTGTTCTGTTACTCGGTCTAATTAGCATATTAGCTCTTTATTATATAGGATATGTCAAGTGTAACTGGAAAATAAATATTTTTTTTTTTTAAAGAAAAGAAAGCGAAGACCACAATCCTGTGTTCCCATCCCATGTGACCACCTTTCATAAGGGAAGGACACAAAATCTGTGCAGCCCTCACCTGCATCTGGGAGGAGCAAGGCCTTTTGCGTGCCAATGTGGGCACTGCTTACCTGCCACTGGGTTGGGTAAGACAGATCCTGGTAAACTGTGGGTATTTTTTTGGGAAGAACAAGGTCTCACAGACAGTGAGAACTCTGACACAGGATCTCAGCACGAGGGCACTTATCAATGCTACATTAATGGTGATTAGTGACATTTGAGAAGTGTTGTGCTGAGCTCTTTCCACAGATAAAAGTGGGTTTTCTCCTTGAATTTTTTAAAAAAATATATATTTTATTGATTTTTACAGAGAGGAAGGGAGGGAGATAGAGAGCCAGAAACGATGAGAGAAACATTGACCAGCCGCATCGACCAGCCGCCTCCTGCACATCCCCTACTGGGGATGTGCCCGCAGCCAACGTACATGCCCTTAACCAGAATCGAACCCAGGACCTTTCAGTTCGCAGACCGACGCTCTACCACTGAGCCAAACCAGTTTCAGCTCCTCTTAAAATTTTTAACACAACCAACATTTAAATTTAAATATAAGTTAGTGGCTACCATACCAAACAGTTTACACTTCACAGATTTTACCCTTTACAAAGAATAAGAGCATTTATAAGGTATTTACCAAGCTTTAAAAAAAAAAATCTCTTTAGTTTTCTGTTTTTTTTATTTTGAAATAAATTCAGACCTATACAAAAGGTGCAAGACCTAGATTTTCATATTGCTTTTACTTTACCCTTCTCTATGTCTATGTGCACATGTGTTTATACAGTATACTTATAACATACATGATTATATGTGTATATACATATATTTATATATATATGTAATTATACATAACATATATATAGTGTTTTCCTAACTATTTGAGAGTAAATTTCAGAGTTAAAGCCCCTCTTAAGCTTTTTTAAAAATCTCAAACCTCAATACAAAATATATTTCACAGCCTAATCCTGTATATACAAACCCATAAAACCAATATTTAACATGTGATACATTCAGATATTGTTGTAACCAACTGCATATATGTAGAACTCACTATGACCCACAGGTTGAAAAGCACCAGATCGCAACAACCTTACAAGGTAGGTGTTACTATAATGCTTTTTGAGGATAGGGAAACAGAGGCAATCTTAAGTCACCAGGCCAGGATCACACAGCCACGATCTAAGTTCATTCAGTCAAGGGTTGCTTATTGAGCACCAACTATGGTTCTAGGCACTTTCCATATGTTATATTATCTAATTATCATAAGACCCCAGGACAAATGCTACTGGTTTCATTCCCACATAACAAATAGCTAGGTACGCAGACCAGGCGTTGGCCACACAGGTGGTTAAGTGGCAGAGTTGGGGCTTGAATGTGGGCAGGCTAGCACCAGAGTCCAGGCCTGTTAAGAACTCGGCCCCATAGGATCACTGGGTTAATAAAAGCCTAGCTCATTCAACAGCAAGGCTCTGAGATGTGCAGGGTCTTATAGAGCCACCATGAGAAGGCAAGGCTCCCCCAAGCCCCAGCTCTCAATTCCCCACGTGCAGCCCCAATGGTGGCCAGCAGGTGGGTGAGCAGGCTCCAGTGGAACTCAGGGTTAAGGAAAAGGTAGTAACACGGGAACCAAATCCTCAGAGTGGCTCAGCACTTTCCCCCCTCCTTTAATTATTTTTCCTTATTTACTCAGCACTTCTTACTTCTCCTCTTACTTCCTCTCCCACATTGTTTATCAGCAACTTTGTCTCTCCCCTTCCACAAGTTGAGATCCAAGCTAGGGGAGAGGGCAGTGGGCCGAGTGGGGATTCTTCAGGCAGAGTGCCTCCAAAGGAGGGCTGGACTAGGAGACAGCAGAGAATGCAATCCTGGTGGCCTCCACCCTTTTGGGACTCCCAGATAGTCCGTATCTTCAGAGTCACCAAGACCCACAAGGGTGGGGCCCTATATCTGGAGGTCTCAGGCCCAGCTGGGTGTTGGCGAAGTCTGGACGGTGGCCGCAGGAGGCTCCCAGCTATGCCCTTTCCCCGGGACTCTGAACATTCAGCCTCACTGACTTTCGGGGTCCCCAAGTCTTCACCCATGTTTCTGTGACCCTCTCTCCATTAGATGGACTCACAACCCTCCCTTCCCCCCCCTCCCCCAGACTTTCCAACCTCCTGTCTTGGTGTCCAAGCCAAGAACCAGTGGGCTTTTGGTGGTTATGAGCATGGGTTCAAATCCCAGCACTGTCACTTCCCAGCTATATGACAATGGGCAAGTCACTCTCCTGGCCTCACTTTTCTAATCCGTGAAGTAAGGTGACACTAGATCCCACCCCACATTTAGTGCTGTGAGGATTTAACACTTGTGAGAAGAGGAAGGTGGAGGGAGGGAAGCGTTGCCAGGCTTAGTAACCTGTATACTCTGGGTGTGCCAACCACCACCTCCTCCTCCACTACCACCACCACCATCTCCACCACCACCTCCACCACCACCATCTCCACCTCCACTACCACCACCACCATCTCCACCACCACCTTCACCACCACCTCCACCACCTCCACCACCTCCACCGCCACCACCGCCACCTTCACCTCCACTGCCACCACCTCCTCCACCACCACCACCGCCACCACCGCCACCTCCACCTCCACTACCACCACCACCATCTCCACCACCACCTTCACCACCACCTCCACCACCTCCACCTCCAACTCCACTGCCACCACCTCCACCACCTCCACCACCGCCACCACCTCCACCACCGCCACCGCCACCACCTCCACCACCACCTCCACCACCTCCACCGCCACCGCCACCGCCACCACCTCCACTACCACCACCACCACCGCCACCTCCGTAACAGCACTTGTCATAAGCGCCAATATCTAAACTTGTCATGAGTTCCCCGGCCTCCCAGGGCCCATTCCTCTTCCTTGAACTCACAGAATTGGATCTCAGAGCGTTCCCCACTGCTAACACTGTGCCCTTTGGGTCCTCACACACCGCGCACGGACGGCCCGCCCCAACCTCGGCCAGACCCCACGACGGCCCTCCCAGTGCTCTGCCTGCGCACCCGTGACCCCTCCCGCCCGCCCCCGCTCATGCCTGCTTGCACCGCCTGAGCCAGCGTGGTGAGCCCGGTCCTGCCGGTGGCGCCGAAGATGGCAATCTTCTTCACCGACATGCTGCGAGGTCGTGGGTGGGAGCCTGCGGAGCCTCGGAACGCGCGGGAACCCACTGGCGGCCGGTCCGCCCTCTGCGCCCTTCCCTAGCGGGAGGGCGGGCCTGGGGCTCGGGACACGCCTCAGCCCGCCCCGCGCCCCGCAGGGCCAAGGGGCGGGGCCCACGGGGCATACCGCCAGCCAGAAGCAGGGAGTGGGCGGGCCCAGTGGGCTCCGCCCCGCCCGCCGCCCGCCTCTCAGGCTGGGAGGTGTGGCCACCCCTGATCCGCACGAAATTGCGGGCCCAGTGCAGCCCCCGGCGCTCCGGACCCCAGGGGCGGGGCCAGGGGGCGGGGCCAGGGCGTGCCACGCCCCAGGGCTATCGGGGGCCACGCCCCCTCTCCCCTGTCCTGGGGCCTGGAGGTGGGTTGGGACTCACCCTGGGCCCCAGGCCTCCTCAGGGGAGGTGGGGAGGGGGGACAGTGTGGGTGTGCGGGCTGACACGGTGCAATGCGTGTCTTTGTGTCGGTGTGACTGTGTGACTGTGAGTAACCCCAAAGGAGAGATGGTTATGGTGACACCGCTCGCCATCCTGTGTGTGTGACATGCATCACAGTGGGAGACTGTGTGACTCCACCACGTGTGGGGAGCACTGACACTGTTCTGTGTGACCCTGTGGTGACAGTCGGTGCCAGTGGTGGCCTGTGATGCTGCTACATGCGTCCAGGCCACGGGCATGGTGTGAGTGTGCGACACGTGTGGCACGTTATAAGAGTGTGCGCCTGTTAGATGGTGGCAGTGTGACACTGCGTGTGTCCTGTAAGGGTGTGTGACTCTGTGACCCCCTGAGGGTGGGGCTGTGACTGTGGTGATGCTGTGACCTCCTGTGGCGTGGTGTGAGTGTGTGATCGTGCGGGATGTGTGGCCCAGGTGAGTGTGATGAGTCTGAGTGTGTGCAAGGGCATGCAGTCCTGTGTGGTTGTGAAGCTGTGTGTGACTTGAGGATGGAGCACTCTCTGTGATACCCACAGGCGTGTGGGACACTGTGTGGGTGTGCTGTGAATGACACCGCCCGTGGGGGGGGCTACTTCAGTGACATGTGTGACTAGGGTGGGAGCCGAGGTGGGACCCGGGTAGAGCCGGGTGGGCCTGTGAGTTTGCAGGTGTCACCCTGCGTGACCCACATGGGGGGCCCTGGAAGTGGGTGCGGGTGATGTTGGGACGCTGTGGGGGCCCTGTCCGTGTGACTGGCAGTGAGTGGCTGTGGGTGAGGGTGCACCTGTGCCTCACACACCGCGGCGGGGGCGGCGGGGCCGCGGGCGGAGAGGGTCCCGGGGGCGCGCGGGCGCGGCGGCCGCGCGAGCGGGGGAGGCGCGGCGGCGGCGGCGCATGCGGCTCCGGCGGCGGACCGGGCGGGCGAGGCCGAGCGGAGCGGGCGGCGCGGGCCCGGCCGCGGACGCCACCCGGGAGGGCGGTCGGCGCCGGGAGCAGCGGGGACAGCGGCACCGCAACCGCGGGCCCAGGTGAGCACCGCGGGGCGGGGAGCCCCTCCCGACAGCATCCCCCACCTCCCCGCATCCCTCCCCCGCGCACGGCGGGCCTGAGCCTCGGGTCTCCCTGGCGGGGGGAGGCGGAGGGCCGAGGGCAGAGGGAGCCCCCACCTCCCAGCCCAGTGCAGCCCCGCGCCGCGCGTGGGTCTCCCCGGGCCTTGTCCTTCCCAGGCCTCCTCCTCGGAACGGTGCCTGGACTGCAGGGGGAGGCGCGGCCGCTGAGAGGTTAAAGCATCTGCTCCCACCTTCAGCCCTGCACCCGCCAGCCTTGGCCCGGCCACAGGACACTCCCTCCCACCCTCTGCCCTCCACCCTTTCCTTCCCCATTCAATCGCGTCAGGGCCAGGGCTGCTCCAGGACCGCTCCCAGGGGCCTGACTGAGCTCACCAAGTGTAAAGTGCCCCCCATCCCGCAATGGAGAGGATTGTGTTCACTGTTTAACAGGGAGAGAAACTGAGGCCCGGAGAGGCCAAACTGAAAATACTGGGTTAAAGCTACAGCAAGAGTAAAGCAGGACTTGAACTCATTTCTGTCTGATTTGCTGTGTGACCAGGGAGTGAAAATACTTGCAAGGACCATGCTTTGAGGGCTTGTAGGTACTAGCTCCCATGTTCCCTGCATTATTAACCAATCTCATCTCCAAACACCCCTAGGAAATGGGTGCTGTTATAATTACCATTTTACAGATGAACAAAGTGAGGCCAGAGGGGATGTGATTTAGCCAAGGTCACACAGGTGGTAAGCAGCCCTGTGCCAGCTTTCCAGGGAAGAGGGGGAATAACAATGGATTTCGGAGAGTCCGCAAAAGAGACCATCCCCACCACACCCACCGAGATGCAGACCCAGCTTCCCTAAAATCCAGTGGGTTGGCAACTGTCTGAATCTTTTTAGGAGGGAGATGTTGATTTCCTCCCAGTTCCCTCCTTTCTTGTCCTGGCATCAAGCCCGGGGTCCCAGATGGTAGAGGAGAGCATCTGATATGGCCCACCCCCTTGAATTTCATGTGTGCAATCTGGCAGTGTTCTAGGACACGGCTCCAGCCAGGCGACCTGTCAGGGCCAGGGCTGCTCCAGGACCGCTATTGCCACAATAATGCTGCATAAGAAACCGCCCTCAAACTCAGTGTCTTAAAACACCTAAGCATCTATGTAGCCACATAGAGTCTGAGGGAGGTCAGTGACTTGGGTTGGACTCATCTGGATTCTTCACGTGTTGGGTGGGGAGGGGACTGTGGACTGCTGGCTGCTCTTGCTGGTTTGCCTGCACCACCTGGGGCTTTGGCCCTGGACTAGCCTTGCAGTGTGTTTCTCATGGCCATGGTCAAGCTCAAGCAAAAACAAGGTCTCTCAAGTCCTAGGGTCAGAACTCACCTGCACATCCATCTAAATCTGTTCATCAAAGCCGTGTGGCCAAACCCAGAGTGAACGGGGGTGGCATGCCCCTCACTTCGCTCTTCCACCCCCATTGCCACAGTCGAGAACATTGAAGAGTTATAGGACAAAGGGCGTGGCGATCAGGAAGAATTGGAGTTGTTAATGCAATGACCATGGGCAAGTGAATCAGCCCCTCTGTGTCTCAGTTTCCTCCTCTGTATGATAGGCCTAATAATAGCCTATCATACAGAGGGAATTTGTGGGAATTAAATGAGATAATGCACATAAAGTACTGAGTACAGTGCAAGTACTCAATAGATGTTAATTATTATTATTACTGCATTATAGAGTTCTATTGCTAACAGTGTTATCATTCTATCAACATCAACAGTGACAATTTGCCAAGCCCCTACCCTGTGCCAGCTTACCCAGGTGCTTTACCACAGCCCTATGGTGTGGTCAGGGTGAACATTATTGTTATGATTAGTATGTCCACTTTAGAGACAGGGAAACTGAGGACGACAGAGGGGACAGGACGCACAGCCAGGCACCGTTGGAAGTGGGATCTCTGAGCTCAGGCCCTGCTTCCAGCCCTAACCTACCTCTGCCCATCCCCAGGTCTCACCCTCCCCGATGGCACAGGTACCGGGGGAAGTGGACAACATGGAGGGCCTGCCGGCCACTAACAACAACAACCCTGCAGCCCGCTGGGAGAGCCCAGATCGGGGCTGGGAGCGGGAGCAGCCTACGGCCCCCTCACTCTTCGAGTGCTCCCGGATCAAGGCCTTGGCAGGTACCTGGAAGAGGACTGGGCTGGGAGGTCAGAGGGAGGGGGCTGCTGGGTGTTGTCTGTATCCCTCAATATCTGTGTCCTGGATGGCCTGGAGCAGGCGTCCTCAAACTTTTTAAAGTGGGGGCCAGATCATGGTCCCTCAGAGAGCTGGAGGGCCAGACTATATGAACTACTAATTCCTACTGTAACACCTCGGCTGCGCTCACTGCCCAAAAAACCTGGCGGGCCGGATCAGACTCCTCTGCGGGCCGCATGTGGCCCGCGGGCCGTAGTTTGAAGACGCCTGGCCTGGAGGATGGGAAGACAGTTATAGGCACTTAGAACTTGAATCTTTAGACCAGCGCTGTCCAATAGAACTTCCCACAATGATGGGAAAATGTTCTCTGTCTGGGTGTCCAATATACTAAACACCAGTACTTGCGGTTATGAGTGCTTAAAATGTGGCCAGTCCCTCCTGATGAACTGGATTTGTAATTTTAATTGGTTTAGATTTAAATGTGGCTTGTGGCTTTTGTATGTAGCAGTGCAGTCTTAGATCCTTAGGGACATGTACAGTCCCAGAAACGTGGGATTCCTTAGAATCCTGAACTGCTGGACTGCCAGGTTTTAGGACCTCAGAATGTCAGACCCGGAGATGCTTTGAAACCGAGACTTTTAGAAATGGAGGAGACTCTTGTAAACAAATTTTATAGTCACAGACCTTAGGAATTTTAATCATTGGCTTCTTAGGGCCTCAGACCCTTAGAAATCTAAACTCTAATATACATAGAGGGCTATAATCCTAACCCTTTAGAATTTCTGAATGGAAATGTGAATCCTGAGAATGCTGAGATAAATGACCAAACCTTCCTGCTTTAGCACTGAAGCCCTTGGGGACAACTGGGATTGTTGGGCACCTACTTGATGTTTTAGAACAAAATAAACAAAACCCGGAGAATTACAGAGTTATAGAATCTTAGAACCTTAGGCCTGCGGAGTTGTAGACCCTTGAACCTTACGACTGTCTTCACATGGCTTCAGGATCTCAGGAGAGTTTAATCATCAGCCTTAAAACTTTATAAGCAAAGACCCTCAGAGACGGGTAACTTCAAAATTGTAAGCCTTTAAAGTAGGGGTGTCGAACTCAATCAGAGAAGGGGCCAAAATCTAAAATCCAGCCTAAATCGCGGGCCGAATGGTTTACTGAACAGTCATAAACTGTCATTGTGATGGAAACGCAGCGGAGTGCAGTGATGACAGCGCGGTGCGGGCCACATTGAAAGGCCTGGCGGGACGGATTTGGCCCGCGGGCCTTGTGTTTGACACATGTGCTTTAAAGCATTAGACCCTTAGCACCTTTGACCCTTGGGATGTTAATGTCTCAGAAACGTGGACTGTTACACACATAAAATATATATTGTTATAATCATAAAATCTTGAAA